TCTTCTTGAAAACGTCCAGTGTTGGAGCATTCACAACTTCTGGAGGCAAGTTATTAGTGCAGAAAGCCAATAGATCTGACAGGGGATCTCTAGAACCAGATAAGAGACTTTTTCCCCCACAATTGCCAATAAGTGGAGACTTCCATAAAGAAGCTACGCTGGGAATTTTTGTGTGTGCATTTTATATATCCAGGCACTGACCAATAATTATTATTTTTTTGCCTTCCATGAACTATCTGGCTTAGAAAACTTCTCCTCCTCAGAGGTGAGGTTGGAGCGAGGGAGGGGATCAGGAAGAAAGGGTAAGGAAAGAGGGAGGAAGGAGAGGGAGAGAGGAAGGGAAGAAGAGCAAGGAACTAGGGAGGGGGGAGAAAGGAAGGAAAGGAAAGGAGAGGGAGGGAGGGAGGAGGGAAGGAAGAGAGGGTGAGAGGAAGGGAAGAAAGGCAAAGAACAAGGGAGGGAGGGAGAAAAGAAAGAAAGGAAAGGAAGGGAGGGAGGATTGGAGGAAGAAAGGGAAGAAAAGAGGGAAGGGGGATTGGAGGAAGGAAGGAAAGGAAAGGAAAAGAGAGGGAGGGAGGAGGGGAGGAAGAGAGGGTGAGAGAAAGGGAAGAAAGGCAAAGAACAAGGGATGAAGGAAGAAAAGAAAGGAAAGGTAAAAGAGGGAAGCAGGGAAGAAAAGAGGGAGGGAATCAGGAAGAAAGGGGAAGGAAAGAGGGAGGAAGGGAGGGAGGAAGGAGAGAGGAAATGAAGAAGGGCAAGGAACTAGAGAAGGAGGGAGAAAGGAAGGAAAGGAAAGGGAGGGATGGAGAATTGGAGGAAGGAAGGGGGAAGGGAGAAAGGAAGGAAAGGAAAGGAAAAGAGAGGGAAGGAGGAGGGGAGGAAGAGAGGGTGAGAGAAAGGGAAGAAAGGCAAAGAACAAGGGATGAAGGAAGAAAAGAAAGGAAAGGTAAGGGAGGAAGGGAAGAAAAGAGGGAGGGAGGAAGGAAGGATACAAATAGCAAAAAGTACTCCATCTTCCAAATTATCTCCTCGATTCTGTCCTGCTACAACCTGATTCTAACAACCATTTAGATCTGGCCCATTTCCACCCGCCTTGTAAAGAGATTTTTAATGAGCTGCGACCAATAATCTTCTCGATCTCCTTTCAATAAAGGGCAGCCCATCCACTCTGCCGCTTCCCTCTATCGTGCCATCACCATCGCACCCTGCCAGCGTGATTTCCATTTGAGGACTTCCTTAATCCCCCTATCAGATGATCGGCCGAGCCCTTAACCGTGTTTGTGTCCAACACAAGAAGAGCCTCTTTGTGAAAGCCAAGGGCGAACGCTCTCAAAGGCCTCGGGGCGGGGGGGGGAGGGGGGATATGTGGAACCAGTTGTCACTTTCATNCAGAGAAGGAGGTGGCTGGATGGAGTCACTGAAGCAGTCGGCGTGAGCTTAAATGGACTCCAGAGGATGGGAGAGGACAGGAAGGCCTGGAGGAATGTTGCCCGTGGGGTCGCAATGGGTCGGACACATAATTTGGACCATAAGTTAGCACAACTAACTAACAACAACAATTTGTAACACAGATGTATGTGGCCGATCACCACATCTTTCCGTAAATCCACCTTGATAAGAACTGGGCATTTTAGGGTTCCATATCCAGCCCATTGGTCCCGTCCAGCCTGCATGAGATCAACTGGAAATTAGAAATCAGATCTAAATAAATGCGTAGCATATAACGGCATTGCTTTTATTTTGAGGGCAACCGCTATATTTCCCCCCCCCAATTTATACACGGTAGGTGTGTATATAGCCCTATTGATTCCCCCTTCCCCAATGGTTCCAGTTTTGCATGGAAAACCTGGGAAAATTAATTGCCCACCCCTGATTTTGAGGATCCTTAAGCCACTTCAAAGAAGATGCTTCGGGTTTTCGTGCTTCGGAGTGAAATTTGTGCGTGGGTTTGCTAGCCCCAATTTTTTTGTGTGAGGATTGCTTCTTTCACAAATACCCACAATTCACACTAGGCAAGCAGGGCCTTTGATCCAGCCTGGGGAGACCTGCTTGGAGATTTACTTGAAAGTCTGACCTCTTTTCCCCCCCTACATTTTTAAAAAAATCAACAACTGCGATGGCTCCTGTTTGGGCAAGAACTATGAAACGGAATTAATGGGTTGTTTATACTTGTTTCCTAGATCATTAATAAAGATCTTACGTAAATGTAGCGCTTGCTTGGCTCCCGGAGACTTTTATGAGCCGATCCCTCTGGGTTTTTAGTCAATTCATTGCTTAATTGGATTAAGATTCTGGAATATCGTCTTTGGCCAAGCTTGAGTGATTTGGCTTGATTGGATTTTACAACGGATTCCTTTCGCTTTCCCTGTCGTAGCTCCGCGTGGTAGTAGGCCAGATGCTTCCATCCTTTCCCCTAACTTTTCACATGGCGGTGACTAATATTCAAAACAAATATGATACACCCCAGATGTTTTCGGCATCCATCCCTGTGTACATTAATCTGCTCAATACGTTGGGACTGCTAAGACGCTTCTCCTGTCTCGATAAGCTTTAATGGAGGCAGGAGGCTGATTATCAAACGTGTGCAAGGCAGGAGGAGAAGGCTGGTGGCACGAAGACGCATGACTCTGGACAGGGAATTGTGCAAATTGTGCAAATAAAAGTCACAGGCGCTGACACGATGTTGTGGCTTTGCATAAACAAACGTATTTCCCCGCGTGCAAGACAGTCAGGCGAAAGGGAGCATCGTGAGGTAAATCAACACAGGGGCATCATTCCTGAGGTAAACCACAGAGCACACCTGAGGAAAAAAGGCGGGAAACAAGGTAAAGCTCCTTTTTTTTACCCCCCGGCAACCAATCACAGCACAGATTACCTCAGGCAGGAGACAGAACGTCTCTCAACCAACCAATCGCGGGTAGTCCACGACTTGGTTTGTTTAGTGACTGTTCAAAGTTACAATGCCATAGTCGCATGATCAAAGTTCGGATGCTTGGCGACTGACCCGTATTTATGACGGTCGCAGAGTCACCGGGGTGTGTGTGTCATGTGTTCCACCTTTGTCAACCTTCTGACTAGCGAAGTCAACGCGGAAGCCGGATTCACTTAACAACCAGGTGGCTGGCTGGTCGACTGCAGTGACTCACTTCACAACGGTGGCAAGGAAAATCATTAAAAACATTCACTTCCCAACTGTCTCACTTTGTGACAGAAATCTGGGACTCAGTTGTGGTCGTAAGGTGAGGACTACCCTTATAACAGTGTGTTCCAGCTCACTGCGCAACCCCACAGCTCCAGCTTCTAAATTAAATATCTTAACAGATTTTTAGAATATAGAATAACAGATTTTAGATTTGGAAGGGACCTTGGAGGTCATCTAGTCCAACCCCCTGCCCAAGCAGGAGACCCTACNAGTCCTTCGGGAGTGGGCGGCATACAAATCAATAAAACTATAAACTATAAACTGTTTCTTTTGAGGAGAAGAGAATTTGGCTGGCATGATCAAGGGTGAGATGATTGCAGAAAAAGAAGGGAAAAAAAATGAGACATTGCCCACCTTTGGCGTAACATTAGAACTGAACCAGCGACGGGTTGTCTCAATGCAGAAGTTGGGTAGCAGATGGTGTAAGAAATATGGTGTCAGAACAGATGTGTAAGACTGTAGAATTAATGACTAGCAAATCGGTCAAAGAATTGTACAGAAACGCACACATTAGAGAATAATGTAAAATATTCCATAATGCTATTTGGCTGATTAATCTGAAGTAACATAATTAATTGTATTTATTGCCATACAGTTATTACCTTGAAAACGTTTCTCACATTAGTGATCTACTGATTTTCCAATAATAAATACATAAACAGTTCTTTTGTTCTTTTGATGATCTCTTCACGATAATGAATCTATTAATTCCACATTAGCTTTCAAGAGAAAATAAATTACCGTTAATCAGGCTCATTAAACTGATGAGCAAACAAGCTATCTGAATCCATGTATATGTAATTTAATTCTATTCTTTTAAATGCCAGAAAATACCAAACCCAATAGCTCAATCAATTAAGCAATTAGCCAGTGACAAAAATCTTTCAAGGCATTAAATATACAAATATCTAAGCGCAATATTTATGGGCCACCATGTTTCTCTAAGAACTGCAATGAAGATTAGCTTATCTATCCAACTCAATATATCTCAGCAGTACCTGACTCAAATATTGACTATGAATTCATAAGGCAGCCGTTCTTGATAGTCATCAAATCAATTTTCCTAGGGCACAACTCCCCCACCACCACCAAACCACCAACTACTTCTGCTGTCTCTGGGTAATTTTTTCCACCTCTTAGCTACAAAGCGCAGTTCACAACATGTGGCTATAAACTCGCCATCATCATTTTTTAAAAAATTCAAATCCATGCGTTTTACAGAAAGCACAATCAATGGATGATGCCAGAACAAGCATGAACAATAATGGGGAAAAAATTATTCATGACAGGTACTGACAAAAGAAACTCAGCAATTTCCGACCTAGGGGGTGTGATGTTGGAAAGAAAAATAACCTGACTTTCAGCAAATCCGAGGTCGGTTGAAGAGTTGTCTGTCTTGCAAATCTGACCCTCCTTCATAGGTGGGGAAGAAGAAATAAAGGAACAAAGTGGGAGACGTGAATTAAGGAGAATTCTAACCTGGGAGTGCAACCTGGAATTAAGAATTCCGACCTAGAATTGGGGACAAATCAGTGAGGAAAAAATAATCACTGCAGGGGCTTCCTTCTCCACTGATTATTAGTGGAAATTAGTGGTTGCTCCATTACGGGAGGTTTTAAAGAAGAAATTGGACAACATTTGTCTGAAGTGGTACCAGAGGTGGGTTCCTACCAGTTCGCACCAGTTTNGATGTGTTTATGTGTGTAAAATAAAAACTTTAAAAAAAGGAATGCCTGTGGTATGAAGACGGGCAATTGTCTCGCTTCTTGTAGTTGGTCAGCCTTTTTTAATCTTTTACCTTCTTTTTATCTTTATTCTCTATGAGAATCAGATCTAATGATTCGCCAAAGAGATTAGCCCTTGCATATGGGGCAGATGCCAAGTTCCACTTGGACTTGTTGTCCATTTGCCAGTTGCGAAGCCAAAGTAGGCGCCTGGAGGTCACCAAAGGAGCAAGGGCCCAGGATGAGTATTTCACAGCATCTACAGTGGCATCCGCAGAGAACTGCATGGCAGCAATTATCTTAGTGATATCCTCTGCAGTCGTTCATCTTGAACAGGAATGCAATCCTGTAGTTGGCAAAGCCACATGACTGCTGAGCGGTTGAAGTAGGATATGGCGGTGGCAGATTTTATCACCCAAGCAGAAGCATTGAAGTTCTTACTCAAGGTAAGTTCCATGTGCTTGTCCTTCCATGCCACATCGCCTGACACAACAGTCAAAGAATTGTCTAGGATGGCCACTGGAGCGTCCACAATAGGCAGTTGAAGTGCCTGGTAGAAAACCTGTTCCATGTTGTAGAAGTGGTGGTCATTGCTCCCAGGGTTGGTGGAAGGGCGAACCCACTGATTCTTTACCATATCCAGGAATAAAGGAAGGGCTGGAACCTTCTCCTTATTGGTGGCCATCTTGGAAAACATGACCAGGTTTGGATCCCTAAGTTGAAGAACTGCAGGGTCCCCAGTCCCCACCTTAGTAGTCTTTCTGGCTTTGAGTAGCAGAGTTTTAAACATTGGAGGAGAAAAGAGATTGGGGAAGGCTGGAGGATCAGGAAGAACAGTTTCTTCATCCTCTGAGAAACCCATGTTCTGGCAAGGGTCATCACCTAACACCGATCCCTCACTAACCACTTAGGGGGAAGGGGGCCTAGTGAGATGCCCCTGAGCCAAGGAGGAGCCCTTGTGCTGTTGAGAAGAATGTGTTCTCCGATCCCGTGGAGGGAGAGATTCCCTTTGGGTGAGAGCTGAGGCAACCCCCTTTGAGATGGCTGAGGAGATCAGTGTCTTGATGCTCTCAGGCAATAACTTTAAATCCTCAAATTCATCCTCAGATTGGTCTGCAAGAGGGCTCTGAGGAGCTAGAGTGTGGTGGGGAAGAAATTCCCTAGAAGAACCCTCTAACAGATCCCCATCATCCTCCTTGACCCCTTGGTTAGGTATAGGAGGAGAAGGGGAAATCTCTAGACCAGGTTGTCTGGAAGGCCTAATAGGGGATACAGATGGGGTAGAAAGGCTGAAACCCCTGGGGGGAGAGCCAGATTGGTGAGATCCTGGCCTTAATGGAGACCTGGATCTGCTAGGGAATCACGGGCTGTCAAAGAGCAAGCTTGCCAGCCCAACTCTGGCCGCGATGCAAGCAGGAGCAATTAGTGCCAGAAATGGCTGCCTCCATGTGCGTGTTCCAAAATGGCCGCCACAGGCTTCTTGCGCCGTTTAAAACTTTTTTCCTTCGCCACGACTTGAATTGAATAGCCGCAGCTCAACAATTACGGCATGGCTGCGAGGGATTGCATGCAAGCCGCCCTCAGCTCAACTGGCATTATTTGCTTCGCAGCCTCACCCGCAGAGCTGCTAGAAGGAGCCTGACATCCTCATAGTTCCAGGGATTGGTCAGAGATCCCGGTGCCACGAGGAGAGAGCAAAGCGCCAATTAGCTCTCCCCCGATGCGCTGTGAGATGGAGGCCCCTGTCCCTGTGAGGCAGCAGCTCAAATGTTGGAATTTAAAGTGTCCAATAGATCGAATAGAAAGAATTGAATAAATTACCTACTTCTCTCAATAATTCACTGGGAACAAAAAGCAGTTATTTGGACCAAAGATTAAGAGGAACTGGGAGCCAACAGGGAAAGGAGGAGGTTAAAAGAAAATTCCCTTGGTCTTTGCACCAATCAGGCTTTCAGACTCTCTCATACGTAGCCCCTCCCTCGAGTCTACTGGAAAATATGTGTCTTTTGGGGTGATGTTTTCCTTTATAACAAGTCACCTCTCTAACATTAGATGGCAATAAAGGATATAAGAAAGAACACATAGGTAAAGGAAAGCTAATTCCCATAACCTGCTTTGCTTTGTTGCTGACATTAGCAACTAAAAATAGTACATTTCTTATCACCATAGAGGTAGGAACTGTTATCTTCACCAACAGCAAAGCTTCTTTTCCTTTGCCTTTTTCTTTGTTTAAATTACTGTCAATACTAGTATCTTTTTATCTCATTTACTGCAATATAGTTTGACATTAATCTCATTTTTGTTCAATAGGTCCATTATTTCATCTTTGCCTCCTTGGCCTTCTTCCCCTCCTCTTTTTCCATCATCTCTCTAAGCTGTTTTTTTGTATTGTAATGCTGCTGTTAACTGTTACTCTGTCATCAACTTTGCCATTTTTATTATTACCTTTATTCATTTATTTTATTTAGGTACTATTTATTTTATAATTACATTTATGTCTATCCTGGCTATTCTGACAATTCTAGGAAGCTTTCATTTGAAATGACTTTTTATAATGTCTTCAAACATCTAACTTTTGATATTCACATCCATTTAAAATTATGACTAAACATATATAAATTTTGAAAGAAGATTTCAAGTTCTCTCTATGAGGAAAATAAACATAATGTTAGAATACTTTTATAGTAGATTTTTTTCTGGGTTTTTTAAATACCTAATTTTGTTATTTGGTTCTTCTATGTCTGTGCTTTTTATGTTTCATTAAATTGGCCTTCTAAAGACATCTGAAAACCTGGAAGAAAGTTGTAAGGGAAGGGGAAATATTTAATTTTTGTTAGGGTGTATAATTATCAATTGGATTCCTAATGTCATTTGGTTCATGTTACTATAATAAATTTAATAGTCTTCAAAATCCAGGAATGGACTGGGTGTAAGTAAGGCTATAGATTCTCCATTAACATTATTGTTAACATAGGTCAAAATCAGTGACATGCAATCAGGGGAGGCAGGGCCTCACCACTTCATCATGAAAAGAAAAAAAATGTAAAAGGAAAAAGGCTGAGATAGTTGCTGCCAGAGTCACAGTGCTAAGCTCTGCTTAGTGCTTAACTGTTTAAAAAAGCCTCTAAAAAAGTGCCCTCAACAGGAGGAGGCGTGAGAACCACGTGCCTCATTTAGTCTATCTTTATGATAGCTCAAGCAGAGTTAAGCAAGGGTTAAAAGCTGAAAAA